ACATGATACGCCAGATGTCACCGTTTTTCGTTTTGGGTTTGTTGAACGAGGCTATATTTTGTCTGAATGCTGTAGATTGTATTCATATATTTAGATCTACGGGGAAGACAATTATGGACTAGGGTTATTGGATGTTTAAGGTAACGTCCGTGTTTATGTTAATTTTGTTTAACTTAATAAATCGTAGACCAAGGCTATTTTGTGGAATTTTTCCCTGGAATGTAAGTCTGCCCGGTATTATGTACCGCTGATTTTACATATAACAAAACAATTTGTCAACATTAAGTCTCGAAAATCAATGCTACTTCCACGTGCATAGTTCCAGTATGTGAAGGTCTTAGTACTAGTGTCTCGTGTACCGCATGCCGATGGTCCTTGTATGAATCCATACCGACGTGACCAGTAAAGTCAAACGTTTCTATTTAAAATGTGAATAATGAAATGCTTTAATTCGTTAAATTCTTTAAGCATTTTTGACACGCCCTAATCTGCCTATAACATCCGCGCGCGTGTTTTTGCAGTTCCAGTGTGGGGAGCCGATTGCGAAAATGACGCTAACTGGACGCGTGATTTTTTTTTCTAGGATAATCAAGAACATAGGGCTCTAGTGAGCTCTGCCATTGGTTGAGCTTGTTTCGTCGCTCAATGACGTCACAGTGTCGTCATATTCATAGCACATCCATAATTTAAATATTCCAATAATCCTGAATAGGCGAACGCGTAGAGCAAGGACGTCACGGCTGAAAGGTCGTTGGATCGAATCTCATCTGTTTCTTAATTATTTTTCTTGTTTTCTGTATTTTTCTATCTTTATCTATATAACTATTTTTTTCAAATTAACGCAAGTATTTACATGATTTATTTACAACAATTTAATAACAACAATTAATTTTTACAACAATTAAAAAAATTTAATTTAATCACGCCGACTGGACGCGACCAGCACGATACAATGTTGGTACCACCAGCCTCTGTGATCCTGTTAAGAAACCCTGTATTATAGGTGCGTCACAGACCATAATATAACTTGCGAATGATTACTTGTTAAGAATAAATGTAATTTTATGATAAATTCGTATAATCAATCTGTTAGCAACGGTTATCGACAATTTTTGCTAGCAAAAGGGTATTTAATCATAAATATTAATGGATATATATGAATATATACATTCAATAAAATCCGTGATAGTCATCTATATTATATAAATACATTTCTATTGTTATTATTATTATTGAGGAAATAGCGGAGGCTATGGATGAATTGACGGAGGATATTGAGGAAATAGCGGAGGCTATGGATGAATTGACGGAGGATATTGAGGAAAAAAACGGATGTTATGGAGTAATTGACGTAGGATATTTAGGAAATAGCAGAGGTCATGGAGGAAATAACGGAGGGTATGGAGGAAATAGCGGAGGGCATGGAAAAATTGGCAGGAGGATATGGAGAAAATAGCGGAGGGTATGGCGGAAATAGCAGAGGGTATGGAGGAAATAGCGGAGGGTATGGAGAAAATAGCGGAGGATATGGAGGAATTGGCGGAGAATATGAAGAAATAGCGGAGGATATGGAAAAATTGGCGGAGGATATGGAGAAAATAGCGGAGGGTATGGAGGAAATAGCAGAGGATATGGAAGAAATAACGGAGGGTATGGAGGAATTGACGGAGGATATTGAAGAAATAGCGAAGGTTATGGAGGAAATAGCGGAGGATATTGAGGAAATAGCGGAGGCTATGGATAAATTGACGGAGGATATTGAGGAAATAGCGGAGGCTATATGTATAAATTGACGGAGGATATTGAGGAAATAGCGGAGGATATGGATGAATTGACGGAGGATATTGAGGAAAAAAGCGGATGTTATGGAGTAATTGACGTAGGATATTTAGGAAATAGCGGAGGTTATGGAGGAAATAACGGAGGGTATGGAGGAAATAGCGGAGGGTATGGAGGAATTGACGGAGGATATTGAGGAAATAGCGGAGGATATGGAAGAAATAGCGGAGGGTATGAAGGAAATAGCAGAGGGTATGGAGGAAATAGAGGAGGGTATGAAAAAATTGGCGGAGGATATTGAGGAAATAGCGGATGTTAGGGAGGAAATAGCGGAGGGTATGGAGGAAATAGCGGAGGTTATGGAGAAATTGACGGAGGATATGGAGAAAATAGCGGAGGTTATGGAGAAATTGACGGAGGATATGGAGAAAATAGCGGAGGGTTTGGAGGAAATAGCAGAGGGTATGGAGGAAATAGCGGAGGGTATGGAGAAAATTGACAGAGGTTATGGAGGAAATAGCGGAGGGTATGGAGGAAATAGCGGAGGATAGGGAGGAAATAGCGGAGGCTATGCAGGAAATAGCGGAGGGCATGAAAAAATTGACAGAGGATATGGAGAAAATAGCGGAGAGCATGGAAAAATTGACAGAGGATATGGAGAAAATAGCGGAGGGTTTGGAGGAAATAGAAGAGGGTATGGAGGAAATAGCGGAGGGTATGGAGGAAATAGCGGAGGATATGGAGGAATTGACGAAGGATATTGAGAAAATAGCGGAGGGTATGGAGGAATTGACGGAGAATATTGAGGAAATAGCGGAGGGTATGGAGGAATTGACGGAGAATATTGAGGAAATAGCGGAGGGTATGGAGGAATTGACGGAGGATATTTAGAAAATAGC